ATGCCTTGCGTTTCGCAGCCATACTAGTCAACGAAAGGCCGAGATAGCGGTCCGGCCGTCAATTCGGGGAAAGTCCACCAGTGTGTCTGGTGATTGTCACTAAACAGTTAGTTCATTCGCAATGGTTCAAGCAGTGTGCGCGATGAATCGTCGTTGACGTTTCCCCGCGACAGAGACACGGAGGCTAAGGTTGTGGAGCGCCAGAGGGAGCGAGCGACGCGCATGCGGCAGCTGTCGCGTAAAAAGTTGGAGGCCAAGGTGCCTGACGTCTAGCGATGGGTCCTGCCTGGACGCCCGGACCGCAGCGCAAAACCGGGAGCAGGCTGAAGCATCACGTGACTTTAAATTTACGCGGTCCTCAGATCCTTTTGGCGACAGCTCCTTCCTCCTCATATCACCCACCCATCACGACTATTGTCACCCAACTACCACAACCACAGAACACCGCGTCAACGTCAAATTCGACCTCAAGCTGCAGCGAAAATATCGACCGACCCGCGCGAAGTCGAATTTTGATTATCTCGCAAGTACAGCGAACCAGCAGATGGGCAGAGTCGCGTGAGGTATCGCTAGGCTTCTCGGCCTGCAGAGCTATCAGAATTACCGGAGCAGCGCCTCTGAACGACACTTCAACCTGACCAAATTTTTATCTCACTATCTCTTTTAATAACAGCAAAGATGGCGCAGCCGCAACCCCAGATGCCCCAGAGAGCGTTCTCGCCTCCCCAGCCCACTCCTTCCCCCGCCGCGACGCAACCGGGCTTTGCGCTCCCTCCTAACAAACGACCGCGACTTTCTCCTGGCGCAACACCGCAACCCGAATCTCCATACTCTACTTCGCCTTACGCCGCGAGTCCCGGCGCTCCCGTTACTCCTTCCACAGCTGCGACATCCGCAGGCTCGCCGATTTACCCCAACGCCCAGCCACAGCAGCAGGCGCAACCGCAACAACAGTCCGTTGCGAATAATTACTCCACCCCATACGCAAACGGCAACAGCACTCCTACGTTGGCCCTTCCCGAACAGCGACCGACTCCTCAACCTCAAGTTACCACGCCTCAACCTCCAGCACCGCCACCAACACTACCATACACCAACGCGCAATTGACTCTCGGCGCTACACCAGGCACTCCCGCCATGCAGCAACCCTCCCCTACCCCCGGCGCTATGGGTCCGCCCTCGCGTCCTCCCGACCGACCTCAGAAGGAATACGATTACGATCCTACCGATTCGCTTGCTGGAACAGGCATCGACCTTCGCGCCGAGGAACAATACCTCTCTGACCTCTATGTCCCTGATGGACAGAGAACCGGCTATGCCCCATACCCTCCGGGTAATAAGGGAAGCTTCTACGGTGCTGGCCCCGCGAACCAGCCAGCTCAGCCGGCCGGAGTAACCACACAGAATGCGCTCGTCGCGCAGGAGGCGGAAAAGGCATGGCAAGAATCTGCGAAGCGCTTGGCTACTACTAGAACTATGGAGCTGAACAACGCATTCTTGCAAATCCCCATCATCTTCCGCAAGGCAGAGAAGTTCGCGAAGGAGCAGGGACTGTCGCTCAACTTGGAGATCAAGAACAACAACCAGCCTATGGGGCGGATGCGGTTGCCCGAGGAGTTTCCCAACCCATCTGTCACGGTCTCCACCAAGACCGGGCCCGACGCCACAATGGTAACCACGACTGGCACCTGGATACCTCAAGAGGCGTATCTGGTCGACCAGTTGGCTTTGTTGTCGCTCGCCACTAAGCAACGCCTGAGGACTCTCATGGAGGATAGCAACCGGATTGCCAAGAACCGTCAGAAGTCGTCACACGGCGAGGTCCCTGAGGAGTGGCAGACAGCAGCCGCACCCCTAAAGAGTGCCATGGAGACGCAGGAAGTCGACGCGACGCAACAGACGGGGACTGAAAACGGCCCCAGTCCTCGCCCTCAAAAGCGTCAGTTGTTGCGGGCTTCGCCGTATATATACCATGCTAACTTTCTATCCAGGTTCTCTCGAGGATGCCCACTCAAGTCAACCTAACAAGGTTCAGAAGGTCGCTGCTACAAACACTATGAGTCACACTGTGAGAGAGGTCGGTAAGGCTGAGAGAGACTGGGAGGAGAGACGGCTGCGAAGACGCAATGCCAGAAAAGACGGCACTGCGGAGGCCGGATCAACGACATCACGCGCAGGCTCAGTCGCGCCTGGAACCCCTGGGGGCTCAGCACCAGACTCGGAGAAGCAAATTTCCAAGAAAGAGCAGAAGAAACTTGACGCGGTCAAGAAGGCTGAGGCCAGCAGTCACGCCAATCAGAACATTACGAGCAGCATGTTCGTCGGTATGCCCAAAACGGGATCCCTATTTGGAAAGAAGAAAGGCGGCAAGTCATACTCGTGGATGACGGGAGGTAGCGGTGCTACTACCCCCAGACTTGGCACGCCCGGAAAGGCGGGCGGTGCAGCTGCTTCGGGCCCTCCAGCCCCGGCGAACCACGCGCTCACAGTCGAGGGTAGAGCCCGACTTGGCAATTGGCGTGAAGACAAAGAGAAGGGAAAGAACATCCAGCTCAGAGACTGGGTGGCTGCCCTTGAGGGTGACGAAGTTGAGCAGAGGGCCATGCAGGCGGCATATGACAAGATGGACACGTCTGATCCAAAATAGACATGTCCATGAGCGCAACAATATTTTTGGGAATTCGTTAGAGGCGTTTGCCTCTGTGTTGTATTTTTTTTAATGCTTTAGCATGGCGTTACGCACACAGCATGGTTAGGGGGCGGTCGGCTGCATACTAGCTCTCGGACGAAAAAGGCGATGCCAACCAGCTGGAGGACAACAGGAACGCGGGCGACGCAGGGCTTTACACTACTTTAATATCTCAAAGGGAGATCATCAGACATAGCCGAATACCAAGCGTTACCTGATCAAGTAGTCTTGACCATAATGAAGATACAATTTTGACCGAGCCTCACCGAACTTCAGTTGATGTGGAGTAGCTGGAGATTGAACCAATGAAAGTTACGCCATTTCTGACAACCTCAATACATGCATGAGAGCCAATTACGTTATCTTATCGGCCGAATTGCCCCGCGCAAAATTCAGTTAGCAGAACATACAATCGCGGGGCATTTGCGAGCGGGCTCAGTCACTCTCTCACGATACAGTTGACGGTACACGGAGTTGCGCAGCGAGGCACGTCTTCATTATCACTGAATTGGAAACTCTGCAAAATAACCGAGGTTCTGGGCGGAGAGACAACGAAGCAGAAAGTGTCGCAGTCATGGAGGAGGACCGGGCGCAAACCGACCTGGGCATCGCCGCAGACATTGAGGCGTCTCATCGCGAAGAAGCAGCCGCCGCGGCCGAGCCGGCGCTGAAGCAACCGAAGAAGCGCTTCGTAGGACGAAGGACGGCCGCCGAGGCCGCGGTGAAGAATGGTGGCGCCAACGGGTCCATCGAGGACAGCAAGTCCATCCAAGGTGCGAATCTTCACCCCCCCCCCCCCCCCCCTTTCCCTCAGCTCACTCATCTCACATCTCTCTCCAGTCGCCAAACCAAGACGAGGTCCACGTCTTCTGAACCAGGTGCCCCCCGAAATCCTCAACGACCCCGCGCTCAAGTCCGCCATCTCCATCCTCCCCTCCAACTACAGCTTCGAGATCCCCAAGACGATCCACCGCATCCGGACGTCGGGCGCCAAGAAGGTCGCGCTCCAGATGCCCGAGGGCCTCCTCCTCTTCGCGACGACCATCTCCGACATCCTCACCGAGTTCTGCCCGGGAATCGAGACGCTCATCATGGGCGACGTCACGTACGGCGCCTGCTGCATCGACGACTACACCGCGCGCGCCCTCGGCTGCGACCTGCTCGTGCACTACGCCCACAGCTGCCTCATCCCCGTCGACGTGACCAAGATCAAGACGCTCTACGTCTTCGTCGACATCAGCATCGACACCTCGCACCTGCTCGCCTCCCTCGAGCGCAACTTCGCCTCCGGCAAGACCATCGCCGTCGTCGGCACCATCCAGTTCAACGCCACCATCCACGGCGTCCGCGGCACCCTCGAGAAGGCCGGCTTTCGCGTCCTCGTCCCCCAGATCGCGCCCCTCAGCAAGGGCGAGATCCTCGGCTGTACCTCCCCGCGCCTCGACTCCGACGACCCGGACAACAAGGTCGACCTCATCCTCTACCTCGGCGACGGCCGCTTCCACCTCGAGAGCATCATGATCCACAACCCGCAGATCCCCGCGTACCGCTACGACCCGTACTCGCGCAAGCTGACCCGCGAGACGTACGGCCACGACGAGATGCAGGACCTGCGCCGCACCGCGATCCGCACCGCCAAGACGGCCCGGAAGTGGGGCCTGATCCTCGGGTCGCTCGGCCGCCAGGGCAACCCGAACACGATGGCACTGATCGAGAAGAGGCTAAAGGAGCGCGGGATCCCGTGGGTGAATTTGCTGCTCAGCGAGATCTTCCCCGGCAAGCTGGCCATGATGGCGGACGTCGAGTGCTGGGTGCAGGTGGCGTGTCCGCGGCTGAGTATCGACTGGGGTTATGCGTTCCCGAGGCCGTTACTGACGCCGTACGAGGCGCTGGTTGCGCTCGAGGTGCGGGATGACTGGGGCAAGGGGGTCTATCCCATGGACTACTACGGCAAGGAAGGTCTGGGGCGGGTGAAGCCTGCGCCATTGGAAGCCAAAAGCTGACAGGTTTTGTTGGCTTTATATGGACATCAAAAGTTATGAAATATATGGGAGCGCAAAATGATACCTTTTTTCTGTCATACACACTAAATCTTTGGAACGTATTACCGATGGACTTTTGATATCGAGAAGAAAAGGTGAAGTCACCATATGGGAAGGAGTTTGATCATCAGAAATCACACATCTACTGGACGGAGGGCATGCGTCATTTGTCCCATTAAATATTCAACGACTAGGCTAATTAATACTGCAACTGGTATCATTAATATCATTTGTTTCACCGTCACTCCTTTCCCACTTCTTCTCGCCTTCTATGCAGAGACGGTCGAGTTGATGCTGAAGCGGTAGCTAGCCTGAAGGACGTACGGGTCACCACCGGGCTCAAAGATTTGCTTCTTGCCGCGGCCCCAGGAAGGGTTGTTGATGCCGTCGATCCAGTCCTGGACCTCGAGGACAAGACATCCGTACTTGGGAATGATGCGTGGGAAGTCCTTGTTGTCGAAGAGACCCTGGGTCTTCTTCAGGGCCATGGAGCCGTCCTGCTGGTTGCAGCTGTACATCTGGAAGGCGTCCTGGTCGGTGTAGACGTCGAGCTGAATGCCGGACCAGGCGGACTGGAGGCGGGCGACGTAGCCCTCGTTGCGCCAGTTGTAAGAGCCGAGGTCGTTGCGGTTGACGATCCAGCAGTTGTCTTTAGAGGTTAGCTTATTGAACGGTGCGCAGAGGGGCAATATGACTCACCATAACCAGTGCAGTTGAAACCGCAGTTGTTCTCAAGCTCCTTCTTGCCAAGGTCAGCGCCAATCTGCTTCGGCGCGCTCCAGAAGTCATTGACGGAGCCCTTCTCGTTGGCGAGGATCTCTCCGGTAGGGATGAGGATGTTGTCAACAGCCACTCTCTGGCCGTTGTAAGGCATGTGGAGAGTGTGGTTGAGGGCCGTGCTGGTCTCATTGTTGGCAAAGCCGTCGAGGTTCCAGTAGGTGTGGCTGCTGAGCATGATGGGAGTCTTCTTGGTGGTCGGAACGGCAATCATCTTGAAGTCCCAGTTCCAGTCATTCACAGTGTAGGTGATGAGCGAGACGACCTCGCCGGGGAAGCCCTCCTTTCCGTCAGGATCGGTGAAGGAGAAGGTGATGCTGCTGTTGGTGTGGGACACAACAGTGAAGTTGCGCCAATCCCAGCCGTCAGAGCCACCGTGCAGAGTGTCGAGGCCATTGTTGTCGTTGGCGTCAATCTTGAACTTCTCGCCGTCAATCTCAAAGGTGGAGTTCTTGATGCGGTTCGCGTAACGGCCAGGAACACCGCCAAAGTGAGGGTGCTGGGTATCAATGCTGTAGTAGCTTGCATTGTCGAAGCCGCCGACAATGTCGCGGGGGACACCGTACTTGTCATTGATGAGCAAGTTTGAGATGGAGGCGCCGTACGGGATGAAGGCGGCCTTGATGTGGTCGCTGAAGATCCAGTACTTGCCGTCCTCGTCGGGGCTCGTCTTCACGGTGGAAGTGTTTCCTCCAGGCGAGCCAACGAACTGGGCAGTCGCTGCCGGGACAAGCAGGGCAGCTCCGGCTGCGGCAGAGAGGAGAGACGAGCGCATCGTGGAGGTGTTTGCGGTGGTGGAGGGAGACCAGACAAGGAAGCAAAGGACTGCAGCGCAAAACACCGTGGACCAGAACAGACGACGATGGTGGCGGGAGGGCGGGCGACAAGGTCTGAGTGAGGGGAAGATGGGGTGAAGACGAAGCTTATATCCCAAAGCACCCGTCCCCGTCCCCTCTCCTTCCCCCATGGGGGAGGAGGCGCGTGGAGACTTGCGCATGGTAGGTAAGAGAGGTGGGACGATGGGACGACTGGATCAGCCGGACCTTGGCCTTGCCCTCACTCAATGGCAACACAGACAGGACTGCGGAGTGCAGAGAACCAGCTCCACTCGGTTGGGGTTTTGCCAATTGGGTATCGGGAAGAAGCAAACAGCGAGAAGCGGAAGTAGCAAGGGTCGATCAATGGTCTGGTTGTGACGGCATGATGTGACTTGAGCGTCTAGACGAACATGTGGTGGAATCCTTTCGCTTGGCCGGTCTAGGTCCAGGGCCAGCCTGGATGGGCAGACAGACAAACAACGCGAGAAACAAGCTCGAGGCGGGTGGGCGAGCTCGGAGCTAAGGCAGGCCAGGCGTAGCGTGCGAAGCTCTCGCACCTTGGCCTGCTTTGTCAATGGAACGTAATGTTGTTGGTCGAACCGAGATGTAGGACGCCGGGATTGGGGAGGAAGCGTGTGCGGAGCAGGTGTTCTGCTGCAGCTTGGAAAGCGAGAGAGAGCGAATGCAGTTGCTGTTGCGGTGCAGGGCAGGGAGCCAGCTCCGAGGCAGGGCAAGGCTAGTCAGGTTCGATGAGGAGAAGAGGCACACAGCAAAGGCCCGATGACACCCTCTCCAATGGGACTCGGAGATGAAGCAGGGGATCCAATTGGCGTGGCTGGATGGTGGGATGGCCGGCTGGCTGTTCAGGAACGCACGGCGGGACCAGATCGAAAGGCCTTTGGGAGTCTGGGACCCTCAGGGTTGGTTGAGCTCGCAGTCCAACAAGAAGAAGAACAATGGATGGCGGGTGAAGCTCGACTGCCAAGTCCGGGGATTAGGCGGGTTGGAGGCAATGACGACGTTGAAGGAGCGGAGATGCCGGGGGACAGAGTTGGGGAACAGAGGAGGCAAGGAAACATGTCGTCAGAAGCCGCTGTTGCGGGACATGATTGGTGCGCCTCTCGTCGTGTTTACCGTCGGCAGGCCCCACAGGTCAGCACTTACAGGGGCTTGTGCCGCTGGAAGGGTGCTGTGCCGCAGTGCCGCAGTCCCTCCAGGCGTTCTATTGTCTGGGAGCGGTGTTGCTGCTGTTAGCCGGGGAAATTGGCACCAACGGGTGCCGGGTTTTAGTGTGCTTCCCCAGATGTTTCTTCCCTGTTCCCCCGCTCTGCTTCTGCGCCACTTGGTTTTTTCGACGTCTGCTCTTTGCGGTTCCCGAGGTCAAGCTTTTTTTTCTGGCCGACGCTGCACCAACACATTACCGGATGCGACGACGGCCTGCTTGTCTGGGTCACCTGGTGATGCCTGAAGGTGAGGGTGAGAGGTGTGGCATCTCTGCGTATCTCACTGCAAAGCGAAGCGGAACCACATGGTATCAAGGAGACCGCCGGGTTTTCCTATGTCTGGGCGGCTATGTCTCCTGTGTACTTGGTGACCATGATGAACACGATGGCCGAGGTCAACAGCAACGGCAACAACAACGACAACAACGATGATAGCAGCGACGATAGTAGCGAGGACGACGACGGTAAGGTGTAGTATATATAGCCACAGCAGAAATAGGCAGTCTCGTGGTATAGTCACTGTGTGCGTAAAGCAAAGTCAATTGGGCAGTTAAAACGAGTGTTATGGAATGCAATTTTGGGATAGCCACGGCCTCCCAGCCAGACCAAACTCGAGTCAATCTCCCTCCATTAACCATGGAAACCGTCTGAAGAATCCTCCCCTCCCTCCTACTCGAAGCCCCTGCAGCCCTGTCCATGTTAGATCCTATGTCTCGATCTGGTGGCTTGAGGGTAGTTTCGATGCGTACCAATCACAAGTTTTCCCGTAAACTTCACATGTTCCTTGTAAACACAGCGCTATCCCGGTTTGATACGCATAATCCATCCCATATTTCAGTTTGAGCAACTCTCCCTCTGTTGCTTCACATCGTCGTCTTGCGCAGACAGCCAGATGGACCGTTCTTAGGAAACGCAAAACTTTGTTTGGTCTCATCAGAGGCACATTGCCCACCTACGCGGCGTTTTGCGCATCGTCCTGCGTTGGCATCATAAAGAGATCCTAAATCCACCGCGGCAAAACACGCATGGTGCCTTCGGGAACGCTATCGCACACACGGTAGAGACAGATGGCATCGTTGAATCGCCTACGTGTGGAATTGGACGAGACACTAACCTCTTCCATTCCCGCGATAAGCTGCTCCAGGCTTGCAGTGATGAGTTCTGGTGTCCGCATGGGGATATACGGCAAACTCTGGATTTTCTGACGAAGCTGCTCTCACTCTCCTGGGCTGGCCCAGATCTTCAGGACGGGCATGCCCTCGAGGGTCGAGACTCGGAGACGATCCGAAAAGCGTTTGTGATGCCAAGGGAGTTCAAGATCGCGCTGCCGATCGTTCGTTTTTCGCACTGTAAAACCCTTAAGGGTCTGAATGATGTCCTTGTGGATCTTAAGCCACTGATCCTCGGTCGCCTGGTCGTAGAGTAACATTGAACTTATAATAAGCCCGAGTTCTTTCGTACCGCTCCGCCTCCGCGATCTCAGCTCTGGCAATGTCCGAGAGCTGCTCAGGTTGAACATTAAAGGGAACTAACGCTGCGGTCCAGGAATCTTCCCCGAGAATTGATCCGGGGATGAACTCTTTTTCCGCCTCCACGTACCGGATAGTCAGACAACCCAGTCTCGTACCGTCGTCTTGGCGCTTCCCTTTGAAGGATAGGTGTACGAATACTCTTGAGGTGGGTGGTACAGACGACATATTGGGCTTCTAGCTGCAGTGTGCAGACGAGTATGTTGATGGGGTGGCGTTGCCGAAGTGATGTTGACGAGATGACGTTGATGAGATGACGTTGAAGCAAAAGTCGTTGGCCAAGGATTGTTGTTGTCGGACGGGCGACCTCTGAACTTTTATCCAAGGAAGCGTATGGGCGGCGGATGTTCTTGCCTTTGTGGAGATTCTACAGTATTTACCCACTCGCACCTGCCTGCCCTAGGAGTGCTCAGAAATCTGCAGTAACCCTCGATGTTCTTGATCGTACCTGCTCCATCACAACCAGCGGCTCAAACTCCACCACAACGACATGGCACAAGAGCAACCAAAACATCATATGTCCGTGACGAAGAACTTGCATATTCAGAAAAGATGAGGCTTTGGTTCGTTTGGGGAACTATGGACTTGAGCTATGCTCAACTAACATCGACTTCACGGGTTTGAGACGCTCAACTAGTATGGGTATATTTGTGCGGGGTGGCCAACAGCCCTCGCAGCAAAAAAGAGCTATCCTCTCATCTTGGGAACTACGATTGGTCTATAGAAGACTCTGTGGGTGTCTGTGCCAAGTATGTCTCATCTGTCAAGATTCGACACAGTCCCTGAACCTATGCAACCTAAGAGGAACAGGCTCAGCATGGTTCCAATGGGGATTATAGGCATGGATGAGAAGATATTTGGGTTTCTATGGTATTGGAAGTCATTTACTCGATGCTGATGCTGTTCCAATACGTCAACTCTACGCCTTTCAGTCTTGTCAGTAAGCTTGGTGGCCTCGAGTGGAAGGCATCTTTTAGATTTGGACCGTCAGCATATCATGTCTGTTCTGGCACAATTGATATCAGCGCCAGACTTCTGATGGCACTGTTGTTAGCTTGATGAAGTAAGAGTGTCTGGATAGCATCATCGAAAGTGACACTCGACACCCTTCATCCAGCCGACCGGTCGCACATCCCGCGACGTACCGGCCGAGGCGTCACATTAGGTGATGCTAAATTTTGGGCCAGGGAACTTTGATCCTCCTAAGGTAGGTTCATGTGCCTGTTTTAAGTACTTGGATGGCGATGATGTGAGATGGGGATACTGCCTGCAGACTTTGCTCGCAAACATGTCGAATTCACGTCTCAAGACGTAGACAATTAGCTACCTACGCAAGAGCCTCCTAAAATGCCTCACTGAGAGCTCTTATATGTTCCTATGAAGGTGATCTCTGCGTAATACAATCGGCGAGCTGGTTCGGCAATATCATTGCCATCGAGACTACAGCTGAGGACCTTGCCATTACATTGTCAACACTTGGTAAAGACATGTTCAAAAACACATCGGGATCTGTACCAAGGGGTCTAGAAAAGCTAGCTACTTCCACCGCACTTTGATACATGTATCGCAGTGTGGTACCAGCTAAATTTCTGGCATGGTCTATATAAACTGTAGTCGTATGTCGGATAAGCTTGGCATAGTCTGTCTTCCGGGTGGCCGCGTCGTGACTTCAAGTTCATACCTCATTGGCCTGGAACAACTCCTGAACTTTCTTAAAATGCTACTTCAACGTCAAGTCTAAGCCGCGCTACTTGTGCAGCAACCAGCACATGGTATGCGCCCCAGAAAGATTTCGCGGTCGAGGATATAGGGGGCTGACAGTAAACCCACGATTTGTATCGTCATTTACTCCATGGACAGCAAACAGGGGAATAGTATAGCTATGAGCGTTCACAGGTGTTGAAACATGGCGAAGTTGCAGCAGGATATTGGTTTGGACCCGGAAGGGATCGAGCTACATATGATGTCCAATATTTGCTTCCAAACCATTACAACAGGTTGCGCATCTCTAAACATTCGTGTTGTCCTCACGCCACGCCTCAACTTGTTGACTTCTCCTCGGTCATCATCAATCGAGACGTGATAATCCTACTATTTCTACGCAGGCATGATCTATGCCAAGTCTTCTTTTAATCGATCGAAAAGCCCGATTACCCCGTCATCCACACTATCACTCTATTTGGACTATCTGCTTTGAGAAGACAA